CCATGCGTCCACCTCCTTCTTAAACACTTGGTCAAAATCTTCATTCTCCCAGGGCACTCCAAGTCTCTTGTACTGTCCTGCTAGAACTTCCCTTTCTACCTTCCCACTGCTGACTAATCCACCGTTCACACCTCGCAAAGTTGCTACCCCTGTATCCCCCCCCTGCGCGGTCTTTTTTACCATTCCACTAATCCCTTCCCACATCTGCTTGACGTTTCCCTCCAGGCCTCCGTTGGCCTTCTGCACTACTTCGTCCCCAATACACTTTTTCTTCTTTTTCACTAGTCCCTTCACCTGTTTTCCTTTGGCCCTGTACTTTTCCCAACTCTCCTCAGACGCCTCACTCAGGAACTGCTTGAAGACTTCTTTACGTTCCCCTATTTCTTCTTTCAGCTTGTCATCCCACCTCTTAACCGATACCCCACATCGTACCACCTTCTTTCCCACTACTCTCTCTGCCGTTGCGTTCACGATGGACTCCCACCCTTCAATCACCCTGTCCCCTTTTGCTTGTACGTCTACGTGTTCGTCTTCGACGCTTCTCAGCAGTTTCCTGAAGAGCTCTACCGTACCAGCCAGTCCCTTCTGGAATTCATCCCGTGTCCCATCGACTCCCAAACGCTCTACTTTCCACCGGAACACTTGCCTCTGTTTTTTACTCTCCATCTTTCTAGATCGGTCGATGTTTGCCCATATGAGGAAGTGGTCGGTCGAACCTATATCTATCGCATTTACGTGCAGCTCTGGGATCTGCGTGCTCCCCCTATCTACCGGGACGCGCGCGAGGGAGGGAGTAATCAAAACATGTGTGTGGTACATCGAAAGCGCTGGTAAAACAGCCGGGGAACCATGTCAGCCTTTCGAATGCTGCACCCTAACGCTCTGCTTGTGCTCTGCGCGTTGGCGAGCTTGCGCATAGCAGGCAGGCCTCCGATCGCCTCTCGGACTGGGGCACACGGCAACGTCAATGGTGCTGTTTCTTCTTGAAGTGGCGCGTATGCCGTGGGCGGGGGGCAGGAGGTAACTTGCTGTTGTGGTTTTTACTCGCCCCCTTCTGCGGAGTCATCTGAATCGATGCCGAATCCGTCTTCGGGACAGCAAGTCGGGCTCTGGACAAACCCAAGACTGCGCTTGTCTTGCCTACTAGGTGCACCCGTTTGTCATCCCCATTCACGTGCAAGCAAGCATGCAAACGGTACCTTGATGAGCTTCTCCTCGGGGGTCTTGCTGTTCTTGGTCGCCGCCGCCGTGCCGCCCCCGCCGCTGCTCCCGCCGTCCCCTGTCGCCTCCATGTCGTCGTCCGAGTCGGAGCTGGAAGACCCCTCTGCAACCGCATCTCCAGCCGCAACAGCCGACGAGCCATTGGTTCCTTCCGCTGTCGCCGCCGCTGCTGCTGGCGCTGCTGCTGCTTCCTTCTCTGGATCGGCGGCCGTACCGCCTGGAGGCGGGAAGACGGCGTTAGGATCGGTCATATACGAGCTTGCGGTGCAGCAACAGGAGTATGCATACAACGGATGTAGGGGCCGGTCTAGTGTCAATAGGGAACGTGGTCGCTACAGTATCCAGGGCATTGCCGGTCTAGTGGCTATGCTGCAGTAGTGCCAGCCACGCGACTCTATGGTCACTACACAGGGCATGCCGCTAAACACGGGGTTTGCCCACGACTACCGTGCCGCGGCCGGTAGTTGACCCCGTACCCCCTTGGCACGGTGGTTGTTTTATAGGGGGAGTGGTATCATACGTCATGGGAACAAAGGTGTGGTACCTACCGAGCAACTTGTGTTGCTCGTTTTGACGCCTGAGCTTTTCCCCACTTCCGAAGGACACGGACCGGTTGGTTGGTTTTCAAGGGCCTCAATGGAAACATGCGCACGAGAAATGGAGTTGGCTTCCGCGCGTCCGCCACCACCCCTGGGAGCTTTGGGGCGGGGGGGGGGGGGG